GAAAGCTAACTCCTATTTGTATTTATTTATATCATTTTTTAAAATTTCTATTTTACATGTTTAAAAATATATGTAGTATCTTAACACAGCAGTGTGTATACAATTTATAAATAAATACACATATATGGAGTTCCTAAACAATTTTTTTTTTGCTATCAAAGTAAGGAAACTATTCCTGTAAACATTTTCCTGCCTTGTAACCACAGTAATATTTTTTTAATGCAGAAGTCAGTCCTGTTAATATGTGTGTGCACTTATGTATTTGTGTACGTGGATGTAGTTTTCAACAACTTACTTTGTGTTTAGGATGAAGTTCAAATCATAGCATGACTTTTAAAAACTATTCTCAGTTTACTGCCTGCAAATCATGGCAATATTCTCACTGGATGCAACAATGTTTATAGTCGAAGCCAAGCTTTTTTACTTCTTTGAGTGCATTGTCATTTCTTTATGTTGGATGATCCTTCTACATAGAATGATCTCATTTTTAAAAGTTCTTTTCACCTATTTAACTCCAGTTTTTTGTTCTTCTAGTCCTAGCTTATGTGTTACTTCCCCTGATATCCCTCTTCTGACTCTCTAGACAAGGTAGTAACCCCTTTGCATAGACTCCCTTAGCTTTGAAATGGCCTCTCTCATATTTTTAGTGGCTTCCTAAAAGTTCTTAGGACAGGAAACATTTATCTCTTATTCACTCCTTTATCCTAATGGAAATGCTTGGAATGTTGGTAAAAGTGAAAGTGAAGTCGCTCAGTCATGTCCAACTCTTTGCGATCCCATGGACTGTAGCCTGCCACGCTCCTCTGTTCATGGGATTTCCCAGGAATGTTGGTAGTTCAGTTTAATTGAGTTCAGTCGCTCAATCATGTCCGACCCTTTGCAACCCCATGGACTGCAACATGCCAGGCTTTCCCTGTCCATCACCTACACCCAGAGCTTGCTCAAACTCATGTCCATTGAGTCAATGGTGCCATCCAACCATCTCATCCTCTTGTCCCCTTCTCCTCCTGCCTTCAGTCTTTCCCAGCATCAGGGTCTTTTCCAGTGAGTCAGTTCTTCACATCAGGTGGCCAACGTATTGGAGTTTCAGCATCAGTCCTTCCGGTGAATATTCAGGGTTGATTTCCTTTAGGATTGACTGGTTGGATCTCCTTGCAGTCCAAGGGATTCTGAAGCGTTCTCTCCAACACCACAGTTCAAAATCGTCAGTGCTTCGGCTGTCAGCTTTCTTTATGGTCCAATTCTCACATCCATACATGACTACTGGAAAAGCCATAGCTTTGACTGGACGGACCTGTGTTGGCAAAGTAATGTCTCTGCTTTTTCGTATTCTCTCTACGTTGGTCATAGCTTTTCTTCCAAGGAGCAAGCGTCTTTTAATTTCATGACTGCAGCCACCATCTGCAGTGATTTTGGAGACCAAGAAAATAAAGTCTGTCACTGTTTCCACTGTTTCCCCATCTATTTGCCATGAAGTGCTAGGGCCAGATGCCATTATCTTAGTTTTCTGGATTTTGAGTTTTAAGCCAACTTTTTTACTCTCCTCTTTCACTTTCATCAAGAGGCTCTTGAGTTCCTCTTCATTTTCTGCCATAAGGGTGGTGTCATCTGCATATCTGAGGTTATTGATATTTCTCCTGGCAATCTTGATTCCAACTTGTGCTTCATCCAGCCCTGGCATTTCACATAATGTACTCTGCATATAAGTTAAATAAGCAGGGTGACAATATACAACCTTGATGTACTCCTTTCCCAATTTGGAATCAGTCCATTGTTCCATGTCCTGTTCTAACTGTTGCTTCCTGACCTGTGTACAGATATCTCAGGAGGCAGGTAAGGTGGTCTGGTATTCCCATCGCCTCCACTAGCTTTGTTCATAGTGGTGCTTCCTAAGGTCCACTTGACTTCGCACTCCAGGATGTCTGGCTCTAGGTGAATGATCACACCATCATAGTTATCTGGGTCATGAAGATCTATTTTGTATAGTTCTGTGTATTCTTGCTACCTCTTCTTAATATCTTCTGCTTCTGTAAGGTCCATACCATTTCTGTCCTTTATTGTGCCCATCTTTGCATGAAATGTTCCATTGGTGTCTCTAATTATCTTGAAGAGATCTCTAGGCTTTCCCATTCTGTTGTTTTCCTCTATTTCTTTGCACTGATCACTTAGGAAGGCTTTCTTTTCTCTCCTTGCTATTCTTCAGATGGATATATCTTTCCTTTTCTCCTTTTCCTTTTGCTTTTCTTCTTTTCTCATATATTTTTAAGCCCTCCTCAGACAACCATTTTGGCTTTTTGCATTTCTTTTTCCTGGGGATGGTCTTGGTCACAGCCTCCTGTACAATGTCATGAACCTCTGTCCATAGTTCTTAAGGCTCACTGTCTATCAGATCTAATCCCTTTAATCTATTTGTCACTTCCTCTGTATAATCATAAAGGATTTCATTTAGGTCATACATGAATGGTCTAATGGTTTTCCCTACTTTCTTTAAGTCTGAATTTGCCAATAAGGAGTTCATGATCTGAACCACAGTCAGCTTCTGGTCTTGTTTTTGCTGAGTGAATAGAGCTTCTCCATCTTTGGCTGCAAAGAATATAATCAGTCTGATTTCGGTGTCCATGACTCTTTAGAGTCTTCTCTTGTGTTGTTGGAAGAGGGTGTTTGCTATGACCAGTGCGTTCTCTTGGCAGAACTGAAAAGGTTACTTACTGTATGATTCCAACTGTGTGACAGTTTGGAAAAGACAAAACTGTAGACAGTAGAAAGATCAGTGGAGTAAAGATCAGTAGAAAGATCTCTTGCCTGGAGAGTTCCATGGACAAAGGAGCCTGGTGGACTATAGTCCATGGGGTTGCACAGAGTCAGACATGACAGAACATGCACACACACATGTGAATTGCATCTCAGTAAAGCTAATACGTTTTAGAAAAAATTGGTGGTTTGCTTTCTAGTGGCAAAATATAAAATATTGTATGGAGAGAGGTGATATTCTGTTATATTTCCTTGCACTTTAAATGGAGTTTTGAAAGGAAATAAACTGTAGAGGTTTTTTAAAAGATCAGGCTTTAATGTGATATAATAAACAGTGACAAGAGAATATTTGGAAACATTTGGATAAAAACAACCCTTGAATGAGACATAGATTAAGTGGCCAGTCTGCCTTTCAGGATAAATAGTCATCCACCTCATTTTTATTTTTTTTACTTTATAGTATATTATGTGACTTTAAATAGCTCAAAAGGTTTGATTTTTTTTTCTCCTGCCATTAATTTATCTAATTTTCTGATTTCTCCTTTGAAAAAGGACAGCACCATCCCACTTCCTCATTTCCTTAGTAAGATGAGTTCAGTAACTCTTTACTTCTCTAATCTCATTTTGAGCACTAAAAAAATGTGATAATATCTGTACTGATTCTTTTTTAAAGAGTAACAAAGGGTTTGAAATCTTTCTCTAATGGCTTGGTTCAATTGATTTGATAACATCCACATTTACTTTGTTTGTTGGGCTACCTGTTACATCCTTGAGACAGACTCCTGGCATTATTCTTGCTTTCTTTGGCTTCATTCGTAAGTCCCGTCTTCTCTGCTCCTATGGTAGTGTGTGTGTGTGTGTGTGTGTGTGTGTGCGCGCGCGCGTACACACGCATGCTCTCAGTCGTGTCCAACTCTTCCCAAGGACTGTGCTCCTATGGCAGTGTGTATGTGCATGCACGTGTGTGTGCATGCCCGCATCACACTTTCGGTCACATCCACTCCCCTAGACTGTAGCTCCTCTGTCCGTGAAATTTTCCAGGCAAGAATACTGGAGCAGTTTGTCTTTTCTTTCTTCGGGGGATCTTCCCTACCCCAGGATCAAACCCATGTCTCCTGCATTGACAGGCGAGTTCTTTACCAGCTGAACCACCAAGGAAGTTCACTTCATGCATATCTTTTTTTTCTCCCCATATCTCCACGTACTGGTATCTTCTGTTTATTGGCCTGTCTCTTCCATTAGCCTGTATGCTTCATTAAGGCCAATGATTGGATCTTACCTTTGTACCTCAACGTCTGTAGTTGAATTCGGCAAATAGAAAGTACTCAATAAAGGCTTATTGAACTGAGCTTCATCACAGTAGTAGCTGTATTATCAGGTGTGATCGGGAGTGATATTTATTCTGTTAATTTTTAAAGAGTCAAAGCTATAATTATTGAAAAATATATATACCCATCTTTAAGTTTTATTTTAATTTAAGCATAGTGGTATAATCTTTGACAATGATTTGATGCAGAGCATGGCCTTTGAATATAGTACCCTAATTATAGTTCTGATAGTCTTTTTTGCATTGAAAAACAAACAGAAAATTTTAAAACTTACAATGAAAATGATTTATTTAAAATAGAAGCACTTGGAAAGAACTTTGAGGTGTGAATACAGAATTTTCCCCAGTTTGTAACATATATCCACAGATATCAGAGCAATTTTTATTAGCAACTCAATTTTATTAATTCTGTTTTAAACATTTCTTGAAATATTTTAAATAGTTTTTATAGAAACAGTAGCTGTCTTTTTGCAGTCATATTTCTGTTAACTAAATGCAGTGGCATTAGCAAGTTTCGGAACAAACAGACATAACTGATTGGTTCTTATTAAGCATATACTTCAAGTATTTGGATTAGAAATACAAAGAAAGTACTGAAGAGTAGCTAACCAGCTCTGAGCATTAAAGCTTACCCCTAGCATCCATAATACATTTTATGCAAAAGAATGGAGAATGTTGATTAATTTAGTAAATCACTTACTGGAGGGAATTTATGAGAATTTATGCTTTTTTTTTCTGTTCCAAAATTTCATCAGTTATAGACAGAGCTTAGGCGGAGTCTGGTATATCTTTCCACAGGATTTCATAAATTTGTTCTTAAAACTCAGTGCTTTAAAGTGTCTTATTGTCTTTTCAAGTCACTCTGGCCCCACACAAAGAATTTCATGCTAATTGTTTTTTTTTATGTTTGTTTTAATTTCAGTGGTAGGAATGGGATCCTGGTGCTTCCACATGACTCTGAAATATGAAATGCAGGTCAGTAATGACAAAATTGACTAAATGCTTATTTCTCTTAGTCCAGAGACACTTCACATTTGAGGAAAGAGCAAATTACTAGATGATGATATTGAGACAAGAGAAAAAAGATGAGATCTGTAATCCCTGGAGTTTTTACTTCAGACCAAAGGATCCAGGTTGAATAAGTGAAGTAAAGAGGCAAGCAAAGAAGTGGTCCAGAGAGAAACTAAGCAAGAGCTGTATGAGTTTTGACCGCCTCTGTTATGGCAGGAATAGTTTTAGAGCAGGACTGGAAGGTAAAATGCCATTCAGACATCATGGTAAGATAAAATCAGTTCACCAAAACTACGCGTTCTTATTCTTAGCTGCCTATATTCCCTGATGTCTCTTTTATGGCATCCAGTTGAATGGTCTGGTTCCTTTAACTAGCAGGGTTTTAGAGCTATGCGAGGATTTATATTTACTGTCCTTGCCCCAAGGGGGCCATATAGGTTGTCCTGAATCTTTTAACCTCTTTGTTCCCCATTGCTAACCCAGAAGCTTCTAGAATAACACCGTCCAATAAAAATATAACGTTGAGGTTCATGCTGAGGTTTGACAGAAAACAAAAAAATTCTGTAAAGCAATTATCCTTCAATTAAAAAGTAAATTTGAAAAAAAAATATAATGTGAACTACTTGTACAATTTCCAGTAGTCTCCAGTAGTCACATTTTAAAAAGCCACATTAAAAGAAATAGGTGTAATTAATTTTAATAATATATTTTAACTCAGTATATCCAAAGTATTGCTATTATTTCAACATGCAATTGATATAAAAACCTATCAATGAAATGTTTCACAGCCTAAAATTGGGTATATATTTTACACTTGCAGTGTATTTCAGTTTAGATTACTCCAAATGCTCAATAGCCACATACGCCTAGTGCCTACTGTATTGGATAGCGCTAATCTGGAAGGATCTGTTTATATAACAGTCTATGAATTACTAATTACAGCCATATTAAAATATAAGAGTGACATTCTATAAAACTAGTGGCATATAATCTTCAAAAGTATCCAAGGTCATAAAATGAAAAGACCGAGGAACTGTGCAAGATTGAAGGAGACTAAAAAGACATGAGAAGTAAATACACTGTTTAATTCTGGACTGGATCCTGTGAATGTATGTGTGTGTGCATGTGCTTCTACTTATGATGTTATTGGGACACTTAGAAAAACTTAATGGGGTCTGAGGATTATGTAGTAGTAATTAATCTATGTTACTTTCCTGATTTTGTTGGTGGTATTGTGGATATGTAGGTGTATATCTTTTTTTATAGATCTAGTTCACATATCATAAAATATACCCTTTTAAAGCATACAAGTTGTTTTAAGTTTACTCACAAAGTTGTGGAACCATCACTACTCTCTAGTTCCAGACTACTTTCTTCACCTCAAAGAGAAATCTCATTTCTATTAGCAGTCACTCCCCATTAATTCCTCCACCTAGCCTTTGACAACCATTGATCTACTCTCTCCATGGATTTGCCTATTCTATACATTTTATAGCAAATGGATCATACAATATGTGGCCTTTTGTATCTGAGCTTTTTCACTTAGGTCAAAATATCATTGTTTAGATATGGCATATTTAGTTTATCAGTTTATTAATTAGTGGATATTTGGGTTGTTTTTGAGTTTTTGGTTTTTGAACATAATGCTGCTATCAGCATTCATATACGAGTTTTTGTGTGGATGTATGTTTTCAGTTCTCTTAGGCATATGTTTGGGAGTGGAATTTCTGGGTCACACGGTAGATAACTCTATATTTAACCTTTTGAGGAGCTGCTAGACTGTTTTTCTCAGTGACCATACCATTATACATTCCTGCTGGCAATTTTCTGTATTCTTGCCAGTACTTGTTATTGTCTGTCCTTTTAATTAGAGCCATCTTAGTGGGTGTGAAGTAGTATCTCATTGTGGTTTTCTTTTGCATTTCCCTAATAATAAATGAGCACTTCCCTGGTGGCTTAGTGGTAAATAATCCGCCTACCAAGCAGGAGATGCAGGTTCAGTTCAGTCACTGGGTCAGGAAGATCCGCTGGAGAAGAAAATGGCAACCTGTTCCAATATTCTTGCTTGGGAAATCCCATGAACAGAGGAGCCTGGTGGGCTACAATCTGTGGGATCACAAGAGAGTTGGACACGACTTAGTAACTAAACAACAACAGTAATAAATGATGTTGAGCATTTTTTCATGTGTATATTGACCATTCATGTATCTTCTTAGGAAACATATCTGTTCATATCCTTTTGCCTATTTTAAAATTGGATTATTTGCCTTTTTGTCATTAAATAAGAGTGCTATATATATTCTAGATATAGACCCTTATAAAATACATGGCTTTATAACATTTTCTTTCATTCATGTGTTGTTTTTTTCATTTTGTTAATAGCATCCTTTGAAGCAAAAAAAGTTCTCAATTTTGCTGAAGTTCATTTTATCTATTTTTCCCTTTGGTTTCTTTTGCTTTTGATATTATATCTAAGGAACCTAATCCAAGGTCATGAAAACTTAAACCTATATCTTATTCTAAGAGCTTTGTAGTTGTAGCTCTTACATTAGGTATTTGGTCCATTTTTAATTAATTTTTGTATATGGTGTGAGGTACTTCTCTAACTTCATTCTTCTGCATATGGATACCCAGTTGTCTCAGGTCGTTTGTTGAAAACACTGTTCTTTCCCCACTGAATTGTGGTGGCACCCCTGTTGAAATCAGTCAATTGTAAATTTATGAGTTTATTTATTGACTCTTGATTCAACTCTTGGTTCAATTCTACTGACCTATATATACCTTGATTCACGTAGATTTGTAGTAAATTTTGAGATTGGAAGCTGTGAATCCTCCGAATTTATTCTTCTTTTTAAAAATTGTTTAATCTATTTTTGGTCCCTGGCATTTATCAATTTCTGCAAAGTTAGTTGGGATTTTGAAAGTCAGTCAGTCAGTTCAGTTGCTCAGTTGTGTCTGACTCTTTGCTACCCCATGGACTGCAGCACGCCAGGCCTCCCTGTCTATCGCCAACTCCTGGAGTTTACTCAAACTCATGTCCATTGACTCGGTGATGCCATCCAACCATCTCATCCTCTGTTGTCCCCTTCTGCTGTTGTCCTCAATTTTCCCAGCATGAGTCAGTTCTTAGCATCAGGTTGCCAAATATTGGAGTTTCAGCTTCAGCATCAGTCCTTCCAGTGAATATTCAGGGTTGATTTCCTTTAGAATGGACTGGTTGGATCTTCTTGCAGTCCAGGGGACTCTCAAGGGTCTTTTCCAACACCACAGTTCAAAAGCATCAATTCTTTGGCACTCAGCTTTCTTATAGTCCAACTGTCACATCCATACATGACTACTGGAAAAACTGTAGCTTTGACTAGATGGACCTTTGTTGGCAAAGTAATGTCTCTGCTTTTTCTTATGCTCTCTAGGTTGGTCCTAACTTTTCTTCCAAGGAGCAAGCATCCTTTAATTTCATGGCTGCAGTCTTCATCTGCCGTGATTTTGGTGCCGACCAAAATAAAGTCTGTCACTGTTACCACTGTTCCCCATCTATTTGCCATGAAGTGATGGGGCCAGATGCTATGATCATTTTCTGAATGTTGAATTTTAAGCCAACTTTTTCACTCTCCTCTTTCACTTTCATCAAGAGGCTCTTTAGTTATTCTTCACTGTCTCCGGTGGAGGCATGGGTCGGCGATGACCTAATGCTTTGTTGGGGACACTGAGTGAGGCAGTATGTGCATGGGACCTTTTGATGGAGGTCACCATTATCTTCTTTACCTCCACCATAGTTTGACCCCAGGTAAATAACAGGGAGGGAACACAGCCCCACCCATCAATAGAAAATTGGATTAAAGATTTACTGAACTTGGGGGCCATCAGAACAAGACCCAATATCCCCCTCAGTCAGTCTCTCCCATCAGGAAGCTTCCATAAGCCTCTTAGCCTCCTCCATCAGCGGGCAGACAGACTGAAAACCACAATCACAGAAAACTAACCAATCTGACCACATGGACCACAGCCTTGTCTAATTCAATGAAACTATGCACCATGCTATGTAGGGCCACCCAAGATGGATGGGTCATGGTGGAGAGTTCTGACAAAACGTGGTCCACTAGAGAAGGGAATGGCAAACCACTTCAGTATTCTTGCCTTGAGAACCCCATGAACAGTATGAAAAGGGATTTTGAAAGAGATTGCATTAAATCCATACTTTGGAAAGTATTGCCATCTTCATATTAGGGCTTCCAATATTTGAACACAGGGTATCTTCTCACTTATTTAAGTCTTTAATTTTCTTTCAATGATGTTTTATAGTTTATGTGCAAGTCTTGACTTCTTTTGTATAAGTATTATATTCTTTTTGATGCTATAAATGAAATTATTTTCTTAATTTCATTTTCTGCTTTCTCATGCCTAAAATAACAATGATTTTTGCATATTGCTTCTATTCCTGCAGCCTTCTTGAACTTGTTTTTTACCTCTTACAGTTTTATGTGTATATGTATATGGATTTGTTAGGGTTTTTTGTCTGTATGAGATCATGTCATATGTAAATAGAGAGAGTTTTACCTCTTCCTTAGCAATTAAATGCCTTTCACTTATTTTTCTTGCCTAACTGCCCTGACTAGGACTTCTTGCACAGTGTTTTATTTTTAATTGAAATATATTTAATTTCCATTATTATATTAGTTTCAAATGTGCAACATAATGATTCCATATTTTTACAGATTATATTCCATTGTAAATTACTACAAGATAACGGCAGTGGTATGCTATGTATCTTTGTTGCTTATCTCTTTTATATGTAGTAGTTTGTATCTATTAATTTTACACTCTAATTGTCCTTCCCTTTTCCTCTTTGGTAACCACAAGTTTGTTTTCTATATTTGTGAATATGTTTCTGTTTTGCATATATATTCATTTGTATCCTAGACACTTGAATAGGAGTGGAGAGAACAGACATCCTTGTTTTCTTC